TTCTCTTGTCCACACCACCAGACACCATGTTGACATAAGAAACGTCCAAACCTGTGGAGAAACTGACAACAGATGCACAGGAGCAAGGTCTCAGATGCTCCGGAGAACAACAGTTTTGCAATTTCTTATATGCATTTGAAATTAGGAAGGGAATGAAAGGAAGAATACATGAAGATGGAAGAGAGCAGGGTGGAGGTTGGGTTTCAGGATAGTTAACCAGATTCTGTGCCCTCGCACGCTCGCGCGCTCTCTCTCTCTCTCTCTCTCTCTCTCTCTCTCTCTCTCTCTCTCTCTTTCTCTCTCTCTCTCTTTAATTTCAGAGAGAGAGAGGGAGAGATAGAAACATCGATGATAGGAGAGAATCATTGATAGGCTGCCTCCTGCACGCCCCACATTGGGGACGGAGACTGTGAAGTATGGAAGCAAGCATACTTGGGTAAAAATTGCTGTTTAATATATTAACGTTGCTGTTTTGGGTCCTGTGCTCATTTAAAAGTTATTTTGATTTTCTGAACTTATGCATGCTATCCCAATACTCCATTGATGATGGTTTGAATGTCCCATTGATTGTGATCTCACTGGTCATCGAAGCACATTCCTGGGACCCAAGAAAGTTTGATTATCCTAGATTGTCTCCGTAGCTACAGATAGTGAGTTCCTGTGGACTCAGTGGTCCCAGAATCCAGTCAGCACAATTATTCTAAATTGTCAGGTGGTTCGTCCCAGATAAGGTGCTCCTGTTGATTTAGTGATTGGTAGATACTTTAGATAACTAACTTGCTCAGTTTCACTTCTGTAAAATCGAGAAACAGGTTCCTCGTTCCAGACCCAGAGATGTAATGGATTCTTTTGTGATTTTCTGCCAGTATAAGCCAGGCGGGGAGAGCTGTTCGGGGCTGCGAGGTCTGGAGCCTTAGCCCCTCATATGCCGCCGGCCTTTAATAAATGACTCCATAATTCGACTTTTTTGAGGCGTTCTTTGTAAGATGGGGTTACACCACAACACCTGCAACCCGGGCATTGCATGTGCCCCCACCAGGAACAGAACCATGATCTTCTGGTTCATGGGTCAATGCTCAGCCACTGAGCCACACCAGCCGTGTGTAAGGGCGCTTGCAGTTTTATTTCAAAGTTGAGTTCCTAGATGCACAGAAACAATGGGCAAATGGGATTGCTTACGGCAAGATAAACCTTTTACTAAAAGGTTATCGGCCTAGGGATTGACTACCCACCATGACCTGCCCGGTTAGGAATTTGTGATCAGAGCCACAAGGTGATCTTTTCACCCACATTTATTACCTAGAAAGATCACAGACTTCGGGAAGATCAGCCCCACACACCAATCCAGAGGCTGAGAAAGCAGAATTGGTTCTTCGGGCCACTCTGGGCATTTGCCTCATTGTATTTCCTATTTGCAAATCCCTTGAATAAATCTTTGTCATTCATTTCTAGCCAAAGCTTCCTGATTTGATTTGACAAAGAATATACAGTCACTCAGGACCAGCCAATGAAAGAGATGCAACAGGGTATGTGGGAAGGGAAAACCGGACAACCAGGGGTCCGGGCTGCCTGTCATTACTGGAGCCGATTAAGCAGAGACAGGGTTGACTCATACATGAGTGTTTATTCCAGTGCTGCCGGCAGCACGAGGGAGCAGTGGGTCATCCACAAACATCCGCTCCGCCTTTCTCCATAAGCAAAATCCCAACACCGGGGAGAAGGACAAAGATTACCAGAGAGAGTAGGAATTACAGGCCTGGGAAAGTAGTTGGGGTACCGTCCTGACAGGTTATAAAGCTTGCGGGCTGGGGGAGGGGGCTGCAGAGGGCGGGCACCTCCGGGCACCTCCAGGCACCCTGGGGTAGATTACAGGCATTAGGGGCAGGGGGTGGTAAAGGGCAGGGACCTCCTGGACTCAATTGTTTCAGCCCCGAGGTTGTAAACCTTTCCTGCATTCCCAACGATGTGAGCCCCCAGGTCCCAGGCGCACAGCTCTCAGCCCAGTGAGAATGTGCTTTCTCTAATCAGAACAATCACCGTTTCCAGAGCAGGATTTATATATATATTTTTTTAAACTTTTTTTAAAAATATATTTTATTGATTTTTTACAGAGAGGAGGAGAGAGGGATAGAGAGCTAGAAACGTCGATGAGAGAGAAACATCGACCAGCTGCCTCTTGCACACCCCCTACCAGGGATGTGCCAGCAACTAAGGTACATGCCCTTGACCGGAATTGAACCCGGGACCTTTCAGTCCGCAGACTGACGCTCTACCACTGAGCCAAACCGGTTTCAGCAGGATTTATATTTCTTTCTTTTTTTTTTTTAATATATTTTATTGATTTTTTACAGAGAGGAAGGGAGAGAGATACAATAGAAAGCCAGAAACGTCGATGAGAGAGAAACATCGGCCAGCTGCCTCCTGCACACCCTCCACCGGGGATGTGCCCACAACCAATGTACAGGCCCTTGCCCGGAATCGAACCTGGGACCCTTCAGTCCGCAGACCGACGCTCTACCACTGAGCCAAACCGGTTTCGGCAGGATTTATATTTCTTACCAAGTCCCCAATATCCTATTGTTTGACCCTAACAAAGGGACGAGGAGCTTTAAGGCTCTGAGTCTTCTCCCCAAATCTCCATGTGTTCACCAACTGGATGCTCTCAGAACCCCATTCTTTTGGGTTTTCCTGAAGGAATTTTGATTGATTACATTATTGGCCATTGATTGAACTCCACCCCTAACCCCTCTTTCCTCCCAGAGGAAAATTCCAACTCAGTTATCACTTGATTGGTTGTCCTTCCCTCCCCAAACCGCCCCTCCCCCTCAGGTGACCTAGGGGCAAATCCCACTTCGTTAACATAACAAAGATGCCTTAATCTCTTAATTTCTCATTTGGAAATTCTGAGGGTGCTAGGAGCTCGGTGCCGGGAACCTGGACTAAGAACCAAATATATATATTTACCGGCATTGTAAATCATAACATCACAGGTGTGGACTTGGAGATGGGAAGATGATCCTGTATTATCTGGGTGAGCGCAATCTAATCACACTGGCCCTTGAAGCTGAGAGCTGGGTTAGGAAGAGGTGCTGATGGCCCTGGCCAGTGGTGCTCAGTCGGTTGAGCCTCATCCTGATGCCCATTTCTCCCTTGGTTGCGAGTCTCATAGGGTCCCTTAGAGGCTAGGGGGTGCATGCCTGTGGGGGAAGGGGAAGGAGAAGGAGTGGCAGAAGCATGCTCTGTGGAGAGCGTGCTTGGAACTTCGGTTTCAGGGGTTTTAAAGGCTGAGATTTGGGAGCCGCCCTGGGGGAGGATGGAAGAAAATATTCGTCAGCTTCTTGCTGATGGGCCAAAATGAGATTTATTCTCTTAATCTGTCTGCCCTAGGGTGTGGTTGGCAAATGACACTTAATTGGATTTCTGCTACCTGTCTCCGGGAATAAGGTGATTTAAACTGATTACCCCCTGGGTGGGGAGCAGAAATACAAACCATTAACTTTTTTTTTCTTTTTCTTTTATTTTTTCAAACCATTAACTTTTAAGTGTCCTTAGTTCAAGGAAGATAGGATTTAGTAGATAAGGCACAAACTGCTGTTTATTTTTTTTATTTTTATTTTTTTATATTTTATTAATGTTTTACAGAGAGGAAGGGAGAGGGATAGAGAACCAGAAACATCAATGAGAGAGAAACATCCATCAGCTGCCTCCTGCACACCCCCCACCGGGGTTGCGCCCGCAACCAAGGCACATCCCCCCCCCCCCCGACCGGAATCGAACCTGGGACCCCTCAGTCCGCAGGCCGATGCTCCATCCCCTAAGCCAAACCGGTTTTGGCAGCACAAACTGCTGTTTAACTATCTGTCTCAGCTTCCCCATTCCACTGGTCCGGAATTTTCCTAGCTTCTTACTATTCTCAAACAGAGTTGACCCCGCCCAGAGGGGTCGCAGGTTGGATTCCCACATTTCTGGGTTTGAGATTCACCTCCCCCCCACCCCCAATAGTGGCCAGAGTGTTGTCAAAATGAAGAATCATGTAACATACACAAGATCAGAAGTGAAAAAAGGAGCCCTTTTAGCCTGTTTGGCTCCGTGGATAGAGCGTCAGCCTGCAAGCTGAAAGGTCCCAGGTTCGATTCCTTGTCAAGGCACATACATGCCTGGGTTGTGGGCTCCATACCCCGTGGGGGACTTGCAGGAGGCAGCCGATCCATGATTCTCTCTCATCATGAATGTTGTTTTTTCCACTATGAATATTTCTATCTCTCCATCTTCCTTCCTCTCTGAAATCAATAAAAATGTATTTTTTAAAAAAGAAGTGAAAAAAAGGAGAAAGCCCGCGAACTGCGAGAAAAGAGAAGTCGGTAGCTTGGAGTGCTGGAAGCTGGAGAGAGGTCACCGTCATCGCAGCGAGGCTGAGGATACGGAGCGAGAGCGGGTAAGGATGGCCCAGTGGACAGCACCATTGGGCGTCTGTAGCTTTGGGACCGCCCTGAGTTCACACCTGCGCCCCGCCCTCCGCTCCGGGCTCTCCCCGCTCCCAAAGGGAGACACACTCCGCTCGGGCTGATGAGAAGGTTTAAGGAGATAACACAGGGCCTGGCACACGGTAAGCGCGGAACCGGTAAAAGCTGTTGGGGTCGCCGAAACCGGTTTGGCTCAGAGGATAGAGCGTCAGCCTGAGGACTGAAGGGTCCCAGGTTCGATTCCGGTCAAGGGCATGTGCCTTGGTTGCGGGCACATCCCCAGTGGGGGGTGTGCAGGAGGCAGCTGATCGATGTTTCTCTCAGCGATGTTTCTGACTCTCTCCCTCTTTCTTCCTTTCTGTAAAAAAATCAATTGGGGGGGGGGGAAAGAAAAGAAAAGCTGTTGGGGTCAAATTTGGGACAGAAAGCCTAGGAAAGGTACAAGGGGAACTGCTCCGGACGCTCAAGTTCAGGTCAGCCGCCGGGCAGCCGGGCGCATGCGCAGAGCCCAGGTCGGGCGGGCGCGGTGTTTGCGGCGGAAGTGGCCGCCGGGAAGCCGGCGAGGTCGGTTCCGCCCGGCTCCAACATGGCGGCGCCCTTTGTCTGCCTGGAAGTGCCGTCCCCGGCCTTCTCGCGGTCGTGATGCACCTCCCTCGGCGGCGGGGTCCGGGACATGGCAGGTGAGGGCGCCGGGCGCCGGGGAGCCCGCGGTCCGGGCGGGGGCGGCGGGAGGCGGGCGCGGCGGCGGGCGGTTGTGTGGGGGAGGGGAGGGAGGGGAGGGGAGGGCGCGGGGTGGCCCGGGAACCGGCCCGAGTGGACCCCGCGGGGCAGGAAGCCGGGCAGCGGGCGGGGTTTGCCCTGGGGGGAGCGGGCCGGCTGTCTGGGCTGGAGCCGCAGCCACTCGCCGCCCGGCCGGTGACACCCCAGCTGGCCGCCTCCGCCCCCGCGCGCAGCTGTCACCGCCCGGAGCCCGCGCCGCCGCGGGTGGGTGTGCGGTGGCCACGAGGTGGCGGGTGCCGGGGCGGCTCACTTTCTCTGGCTGAGGCAGAGGCACAGGCCGGCCAGGGGGCCGGAGCTTCTGGCAGAGTAGGAGGCGAGACTGTCCCTGCGTACGGTTATCTCATTCATTCGTTCTTTCACTCATTCATTCATTCGTGCGTTCGTTCCACAGACGGTGGTTCATCACCCGATGGGTTCTGACACGAGAGCTAACGACCCAAGACTGGCATAGTGGTTAAAAGGGAACCGTGGAGCCAGGCAGCTTGGCTTCCGTCTCTGTGTTTGCCAACCGTGTCCTTAAGCAAGTTAGGTTCTTCCTCTCCGACAGGCCACGTGACTCCGTGGTTGAGCCTTGACCTATGAACCAGGAGGTCACGGGTTGGATTCGGGTCAGGGCACCGGTCTGGATTGCAGGTGCATTCTCCAGGGTGGGGAATGCAATGGGGGAGGCAGCCCATCTATGATTCTCTCTCATCGTTGATGTTTCTCTCTCTCTGTCCCCCTGATACCAATGCAAATAAAAAAAGACTAAGGAAGCAGAGTATGGTCTGCCCTCCCGGCGGGCCTTTTAAATCTAGTTATGGAGTTTACCTTTTAGGTTGACAGGAAGTCGTTTAAGTATCAGATTTGTGGCCCGCCTGGCTTGGCTCAGTGGTTGAGTGTTGACATATGAACCAGGAGGTCAAAGTTTGATTCCCTGTCAGGGCACATGCCCAGGTTTCGGGCTCAATCCCCAGTGTAGGGCGTGCAGGAGGCGGCAGCCAATCAATGATTCTCTCTCATCATTGATGTTTCCATCTCTCTTTCCCTCTATATTCCTATCTAAAATCAATAAAAAATATATATATATTTTTAAAAAGAATCAGATTTGTGGCTATGTGAAGACTGTATTAAAGGGAGTGACCCTGGAGGTCAGTTAAGAGTCTCCTAGGCTATTTCAGGTGAGAAGTGACAGTGGCCACAGCAGACCAAAATGACCCAAGTTAACATTTATTGAGCACTTACTTTGTGCCAGACTGTGTCCAGTGCTCTGCGTTTGCCTGTTTGATGGATGGATGGAAGGGCAGCTCTTAAGGAAGCAGGTACCCTTTGGCTTCTCATCACATTTTGCACGTGGGTGTCTTTGATTCAGGTAATGAGTGGGAGGAGGAGAGTCAAGCTGGCGTTTACCCAAACTCAGAAAAGAGCAGCCTGGGCCACTTGGAAATCGGAGGTATGACTGAACCACTCAAGGACAAAACAAAGCCAGCATGTCGGCTTGTTTGTCCTCAGGCTCATTGTGATTCAGATCACCCTTTCAAGATAGCCTATTTTTAAAATATATATATTTCTATTGATTTGTTTATAGAGAGGAAGGGAGAGGGACAGAGAGTTAGAAACATCTATGAGAGAGAAACATCGACCAGCTGCCTCCTGCACACTCCCCACGAGGTATGTGCCCGCAACCAAGGCACATGCCCTTGACTGGAATCGAACCTGGGACCCTTGAGTCCAAAGGCTGACGCTCTATCCACTGAGCCAAAATGCTAGGGCAAAATAGCCTATTTTTTTTTTTAAATATATTTTGTACAGAGAGGAAGGGAGAGAGAGAGAGAATTAGAAACATCGATGAGAGAGAATCATCGATCAGCTGCCTCCTGCACACCCCCTACTGGGGATATGCCCGCAACCAAGGTACATGCCCTTGACCGGAATCGAACCCGGGACCCTTCAGTCCCCAAGCTGACGCTCTATTCATTGAGCCAAACCGGCTTCGGCCAAAATAGCCTATTTTTAAACTATGTATTAAGAAGGGAGAGAGCGATAGAAACATCAATGGTGAGAGAGAATCACTGTTGCCTCCTGCCCCCACCGGGGAAGGAGCCCACAGCCTGGGCATGTGCCCTTGACTGGGATCAAACCTGGGACCCTTCAGTCCGCAGACAAGATGGTCTCTCCACGGAGCCAAACCAGCCAGGGCAAGATAGGTTTTTCTTTAAAGTTATACAAACAACAACATCCTAGTTTAGGGGAAATTATTGATGTTATTGTTGTTTTACCAACTAAGACCAGCCTCAACATTGGGTAGTGATCAGACCTTGTTTTAATTAGGTACCATCTTAAAACGCTCCAGCATAGCAATCCCAAAATATAGTGGCTGAAACAATAGGGAAGTTTATTCCTTGCCCCTTATTTGTCTGAAGCGGGGAGTCCAGAGCGGGGGGAGCAGCTCACTCTGTGTGGTGACGTCATCCGGGAGCAGGGTTCCATGGGTCATGTGGCTCCTTTCTCAAACCTGAGCTTCCATCTCCTGGTCTAAGCTGGCGCTTCAGCTCCTGCTCCCTGCACGCACTCCCTCACGCTCGTTCCTTTTATGGTTCTGATGTTTAAAGACACACATTTTGTGAACAACATGTCCCCAAACATAAGCATCTTGTGTACAATGACTCATGGCTGTTCCAATGCTGAGAACCTGCTTGGTCCCCTGTGTGACTAGATTGCTGACTCTGGGTCTTGGGCCCAGCCTGCGGGAAGTCCACTGCATTGGTGAGAGGGCTGGGCATGCTTCCCAGGCCTCCCTCTCCCAGGCAGGCTGACCTGGCTTGGCTAGGTTTATGTTGCTTGTGCCCAGGGAGTCCAGGCTCGATTTTGCAGTTAGCATTTCCTGTGCTCGGCGTGGCAGAGACTGTGCCGGGTGCCAGGGGTGTGGACCTGACGAGGACAGGAACTCTTAGCTGCATGGACAGTCATGGTATATGTAAGAAGCACCATATTCAGAAGTGGTGCACAGGGTGACTGTTGGGATGCTCCACTGAGGGGGTGAAGATTTCGTGAACAGCCTGTCTTGGATTGGTAACTGTACAGTCCCCTCAGAGAGAGGCAGCAGGGACTCCGGTATTGGTGTGAATCCCTGCTTCCCTGTTCAGTGGCTGTGTCCTAAGGTCCAGTTCCTTCATCCTTGCGCCTCAGTTTCTTCATCTGTAAAACAGGGATAACAGTCTCTACCTCGGAATTGTTTTGAGAGTTATGTGAGGTCAGGCATGTGATTCACAGGGTCTGATGTGCAAGATGCAGGGTGGTTCTAAGCCAGAGAGGACAGTTAGGTTTGCAATGGAAGAAGGCCCAGTCCTGAGGGGAACCAGGTTGCTGGCCTCCCTGGAGGCAGGGGTTAGCCAGGTTGTACAAGGACTGCTCTCCCTGTTTCCTCCGGTGTTCCACCGAGCTTCCTAATTAAAGTGGTCAACCTGGCCCTGGCTGGGGTGGCTCAGTTGGTTGGAGTATCATTCACAGCAAAAGGTGGCGGTTCAATTCTCAGTCAGGGCACATATCCAGGTTATGGGTTTGATCCCTGGTCGGGGTATATTCATGAGGTAACTGATTGATGTTTCTCTCTCCCTAAAATCAATTTATTCTTTTTTTTCTTTTTTGCTCTTTTTAATAAAAAAATAAATCTTTATTGTTCATATTGTTACAAAAGTTCCTCATTCCCTCCCCCCCTTCACCAGGTACCCACCCCACCCTCTGCCCTTTCCCCACCCCCCATTGTCCTCATCCATAGGTGCACAGTTTATGTTCAGTCTCTTCCTGCACCCCCCTCTCCTCTTTTCCCCGAGAATCGTCAGTCCACTCCCCTTCCATACCTCTGATCCTATTATATTCACCAGTTAATATTGTTCATCAGGTTTTTAATTCCCTTGGTTTTTATATTCACTTGTTGATAGTTACATATTTGTTGTTCATAATTTTTATCTTTATTTTCTTCCTCTTCTTAAAGAACTCCCTTCAGCAATTCATATAATTCTGGTTTGGTGGTGATGAACTCCTTTAGCTTTTTTTTTATTTGTGAAGCTCTTTATCTGGTCTTCGATTCTGAGTGATAGCTTTGCTGGGTAGAGTATTTTTGTCTGTAGGTTCTTGTTATTCATCACCTTGAATATTTCTTGCTATTCCCACCTGGCCTGCATGGTTTCTGTTGAGAAATCAGCTGACAATCGTATGGCTGCTCCTTTATATAGGTAACTACCTGCTTTGCTCTTGCTGCTTTTAATATTCTCTGTCTTTTGCTCTTGGAATTTTAATTATGATGTGTCTTGGTGTGGTCCTCTTTGGATTCCTTTTGTTTGGAGTTCTGTGCGCTTCCTGGACTTGTAAGTCTAATTCTTTCCCCAGGTGGGGGAAGTTTTCTGTCACTATTTCTTTCAGTATGTTTTCGGTATCTTGCTCTCTCTCATATTCTGGGATCCTCATAATTCTGATGTTGGTTCGCTTGAAGTTGTCCCAGAGGTTTCTTATATTATCTTCAACTTTCTGGATTCTCTTCGTCTTCTTGCTTCCGCGGAAGAATGTCCTCTGGCTCTTTGTGTTCCAAATCTTTGACTTGATTCTTTCGATCTTCCATTCTGTCTTTAGGACTCTTAGGCTTTTACAGCTTCTCTGATTTTCCTTCTGGTTTTCTCTTTCCTTCTAGTTGTAGAATTTCCAGTCAGTCAACTCTCCTGTAGTTCTGGATGATGTCCACTTTATATTTTAGTTGTATTTTTTGAAATTGTTGTGTGAGGCTGCAGTTAGGTATTTACCTATGCCGCCATCTTGGTTTCTCCAATTTATTCTCTTTTTTATGTCTCTGGTTCTGTTTTATTCATCAGTTTATTTTGTTCATTAGATTCCACATATGAGTGAGATCATGTGATACTTAACCTTTCTCTGACGGGCTTATTTCACTTAACATAATACTCTCCAAATGGAAGAGTTCTCTTTTACAGGTGGATAGTATTTCACTGTAGAAATCTCAAATCCATTTAAGTCCTGGCTGGTTTGGCTCAGTGGATAGGGTCTGTGGACTAAAGGGTTCGATTCTAGTCAAGGACATATGGGGGCGTGCAGGAGGCAGCCAATCAATAATTCTCATCATTGATGTTTCTATTCCTTTCCCTTCCTCTCAGAAATCAATAAAAATATTTTTTTTAAATAAAGTCAGTTTTAGCCAGGACCGGTTTGACTCAGTGGATAGAGCGTCGGCCTGCGGACCGGGTTCGATTCCGGTCAAGGGCATGTACCTTGGTTGTGGGTACATCCCCAGTAGGGGGTGTGCAAGAGGCAGCTGATTGATGATTCTCTCGCATCGATGTTTCTAACTCTCTATCCCTCTCTCTTCTTCTCTGTGAAAAATCAATAAAAATATATTTAAAATAAAGTCAGTTTTTAAAAATTATAGTTGTCAGTGTGTGGGTTCTCAGAGACCATACTCCGAAAAGTCTGGTGAGGGGGACTTGGAAGGCAAGGGTTCCTCCAGACTCAAAGGCTTCTGGGAAACCTTCCCTGAGCCCTCCCAGCCCCCACCACGGCTGAGTTTGGCCCTCCTCTGGGACTTCTTAGTATACTCACATCATAACCATAGCTTCCCTGCAGGACAGGGTCTGGTTTCTCCTGTATTCCCACTGTGTAGCTCATTTCCGGGTGCATAGCTAGTGCTCGGTAAGCACTGTTGGATGGTGGATGTTGGCTTTGATTGGCTGAAGAGGAACTGGCAGTTGGGTTGGAGAGAACCTCAGTGTGTTGTGTGGTGTGGGGTTGGCATGCCGTTGATCGAAGACAGAGGAGGACCCGTGTCTGGCTGTAATATGGGAAGTAACCATGGAGAACTGGGAGAGTGTAGGTCAGAAAGTAGTTTCTCTGTCTTTTCCCAGTAGAACAGCTTTCTCAACCTTGACATTGTTGACATTGGGGACTGGGTAAGTTGGGGGGTGGGGGGGAGGCTCCCTGTGCACTTGTGGATGTTAAGCAGCATCGCTGCTCTCTGCACATAGATGCCAGCAGTACCTGCCAGGCTCCAGCTGTGGCTACCGAAAAGGTCCGCAGAGGTTGCCAAACATCTGGGGCAAAATGGCCCCACCCAAGAACTGCGCGGGAGGGTGAGGCAAAGGAGCAAGAACTAAGTTGACACACATGGGCTTGTGGGCTTCCCTGTGCTTACCAGGTGTATGCTGTCGGGCAAAGCACTCCACCTCTTTAAGCCTCAGTTTCCTCAGTTGTAAAATGGGGGATATTGATGACCTCCCACCTAACTTTAATGGGTGGAATGATTGATGAGGTAGTCTACCTCTTTTACTGGCACACTTTTATTTTATTACTCTTTTGTATGAGAAAGTTTACTTAGAAAGTTACAGAGGCACAAGAAGGGGTCCTTGGAGCTTAGAGAGGAAGGTAAAGGAACGGCCTGCGGGGGAGAGGAAGGGGAAGGGAAAGGCGTGGGAGTGCTGGGGGGGGTGGCGG